CCTCTATTTAATGCAAGTTATTTTTGTTTGATAGCTTTACTTGTTTAGAAGTTATTATAAATCAAACAGGAGTACTTTTTTTTGGGACACCCGGTATAGCTCTGTAGTTTTCAATCGTTCATACAGATAGCTTGTTGGGGATCGGGTTGCATCCTCTTCAGAAATTTTTTAAAATCTAGACTCTCTAAACTGGCATTTTCGCATTAAAATCATTGTATATGCAGTACGTTCAACTTGCGCATCCTGTAGATGGGCCTTTGAAGCTTTAATAGTTTGGAGCTATGTTATCAAAAAAGGCACTCAGACTCAACCATCAAGAAATATTTTTTCTTCCATGCATATTAGATATTTATAAATAACTTATAAACTCGTACATATCTTAAGCCCAGTTTTCTCAGGGGGGGGGGGCGACAATTTTGCCAGGGAACGCCACTGGCTATTGGATATGTTATAGGCTCCAAAGGCGGTAGAATCTCTGTGATGTTGTCCACTGTTCACCCCGTGTTCTGTTAAGCAAATGTGCCTACTCAAAAATGCAAAATCGTGCAAGCCTGTGGACACAGTACTGAAGTGAAGAAGGTTGAGCGCTCTCTTTTGCATGATTTTTTTTTCTCGATTATATGATGCATGATTTTTTTTCTTTCTCCTTGGATTGCAGGAATTTTTTTTTAAATCTTCAAACCTCCCCCTCCCCCTCAAAAATCAAATGGTCCGCCCCTAAATGCGTTTTATTACCCTCTATTAAGCCGATTTTCCACTAGCGAATTTTTCCGCGCGAAGCGACCTTTTTCCTTTGTCGGCATCCATTTTGAAGCCCTCGAAAACCGTCAAAATTGAGATCGGCAAAAAACGGCCGACCTAAATTTGACCTAGGTCGGCACGACTCTCGGCATTTCTTAAAATCTGTTTCACGTCTTGGAGCACTATTAATCACACAATTACGAATCATTGAAATCGGAATATAACTGGAACGTTACCTCCAGCCGGAAAATTCAAAAGTTGAAGCCAAATTTTAAATCCAGACGCGCGAAATTTGATTTTCAGACACCTAACGTATATACACAATACCCGTCAATTTTTAAACCTTACACCGTGTGTGTTCAGTTAATCGAACTACGAATCGAATTCTATAATCGCTGACTTTTTAACAGCTAATAGCACCAAAAAATTCTTACTTTGGTTGAATTAAGGTCGGCAAAAATTTGCCGACCTTGGAAAGGTCGCTTCGTGCGAAAAAATTCGCTAGTGGAAAACCGACCGCTTTATTGCCTCTTTTATAGAACAGTTTAATAAGCAACGACAACTGAACAACCAAACAAATTTAATTAGAAAGAATTTGCATTGCTGCATGTGTGGTTTCTTTGATGCATGCTAGTCGTGATATTCGGTTTGAATTCAATTATTCAGGAAGTCAATTTTGGCTTCTTCAGTGGTTATCTATAGCCAATCCAGTTTTGCCGACTGAGATAATAATTTGCCGATTTGCTGACGAGT